TAGAGCTGGAGGTGCTTAGATATAATTGTGGTGATGAGTATTTTCAATGAAAGCTTTTTGCTGTAACAACAGTACGGTGTTAGAAATAATGTAGTTCTCAGGGGGACGTTAATATGGTCTGGGCTAAGAGAATCCTCTTTTCCCAGAGGGTATTGGCAGAACATCGAGGGTTTGGAGAGCTGCTAATACTAAGTGACAAAAGTACAACTGCCAGTTCCCAGGCTATGAAACAGTGTCACTGTCAGACAGTAATACAGAGAGGACATGGAAAACTCCACTAGAAGGAGATGACTGAACCTTGGCCTTTCCATTCACAGTAACATATAGAATCTTTCTTTCTCTACAATGTATAAAATACTAATTCTTCATTTCCCATCAGTTCTAATACCCCATTTCTTTATGGCAATGAAGAACAGCTTTCTATGCCAAACCAAGAAAAATAATAACCAGGGCTTTTAACTTCTTGTTATTTTTCTCTAGGCAGTCAGGTTTGTAAGCCTCCTTGACTTGTAGATAGACTCTGTTTCCTAACAGAGCAGTAGTAAATAGAGAGCTATTTTGAATGTTTTAAAAATAATAACAATGTTTATATTCCCAGGCGGCTGCTGTTTGGGTTGTTGTTTTTTTTTCCCTAGTAGTAAGCCATTATTGGCTCATAGCTGGCCTGTATTTGTCTCAGTCTAATTCTCAGACGTTCTCCTGCAGTCTAACAGGTCACCCTGTGTTGTGTATTTGTGAATTTGAGCCTACGTTTCTCCAGTGCAGGAACTGTATTTGTGTTCACTGAATTGCATCTTGTTCTTTCCAGGCTGCTTTTCTGTCTCTTCAAATTCCTGTCATGTTCTCCCACATACTCCCACCTCTCCTAGTTTAATGTAATTTGCTGATTTTAACAGGGCCATTTTCTATCAAAGTCCTGAATTCCAGCAATACTCAGTATTTTCATTAGGACATGGGTGATCCCACCAGATGCATCTTTTCAAACTAGCACAGAGCAATTGATAAATACTCTGATTTTATTATTATTATTATTATTATTATTATTATTATTATTATTTTAATTTACAGAAGAATGTGGTTATAATTTTATGTAGAGAGTATTTCTCTAGTTTAAGGAAGGGCATGATTTGTCAGACTGTACCATGACCAGTTAGATCAGTTTGATGTGGTTTCCATTCAGGAAATACACTGTTACTCATCTTGCTGTGCTGAAAAATTATCTGAGTATTTCTGGGAAGACTGACGTGTTATTTCCTGGCTTTTCCTCTTTTTCCTTTGTCGCATGTTGCCATTTTCCAGTCTCCTGAGCTTAGTGATTATCAGAGGCACCTATGAATGTATTTGTGAGGGTTTCTGATGCTTCTTGAAATACCTGAGTATTCTGAGGTAACAGTTTCTACTGCAGCAGTTTGGCAGACTCTTCCCTCCCTGCTCTTGCTGAGCTGGGCTGATCCTGGCATGGCACACACTGATTCATCCCCCTTGAGCAGGAGAGACCTGACTGCTCTGATGGCTGCTTATTCCTGTGATCTCCAACAAATGTAAAATCCAAATCTAAGTGGCTGAGGCACGATGTTGTTTAGTCAACAGTTGCTTAGTTGCCTGATTAACAGGAGGCTAGAGGCTGTGGACAGTCCCAAAGTGATACCGACGCAATAAAAAGCACAGAAGCTGTATCAAATACATGTATGTTCTTTACTAAAACTTTTGTGTAAAGATCATTATCCTAAAAATCAAAGCAAAAGAGATGACTACAGAAATAGAGTATTATTATCACATAGCAAGAAACAGCATGTCCAAACAATTTTCTTTCTGATTTTAATCACTTAATAAATGAAAAGCCTGTGTTAAGCCTGTTCTAGGACTGGCATTAAAATTATGCAAGAATTTAGGATAAAATCTGATAGGAGGATATTAATTTCTTAAAAGGAGCATCAGGAGATGCTCTGTCAACTTCATTGAGATTTATCTGGGATCTTAAATATTCTCCAAGAAATTAAAACATGTTCTTATTGCATCATTACAAGAAATCTCAATGCTGTTCCAGTAGTAGCAGTGGAAACTGTTAGAGCAGCTTTAGAGCTATAAACTTCTCTTTCTAGTATCGTCTGTTTGCAGAGGTATATGGGTTGGATTTATAAGCTTTTTTTCCCCACAACTTTGTTGGATATCACCTACTTAAAAAGATTAACAAGACTAGAAAATTCTAAGCCACTCTTGCAAGCGATTGTGGTAAGGTATAGCTGAAGTAGTATATACTCTACTTTTAATTCACAGTTTGTTTTTTAAAGATGGTTGTTTATAATGAAGGACATAACCTATGCAATTAGTGGTAACTTAGAAAAATGCTACAGTATGGAAGTGTATGTTTTGGTTGCCTTTCATATCCATGTGACAAAGAAGCTGGGATTACTTTGATGGACATGTCCCTCATTGTGAACTCTTGCAGTGTGATAGCTAGATGACTTACATTTATAAAGCTGTATACCACAAGAGGGAGCAGACAGCTATTTGTAAGTAATGCTGTCACATACAATCCAGACAGCAATGCTAAGGATACATAACTGTTATCAAATGAAGAAAGACTTTGATTAGTTTTCTATAATCTTAGTAATGCAATTTGATCATGAGGTAAAACACACGTCTTCCATTTTCATCAGAGGCCTACTTAGAATTAGTTTATTTTTTAAACCACAGACAGAAAGTTAGTGGAAGGACATGAAATCCCTGTCAGGTTAAAAGCCAAGCGGGTTGAAAGGATTCCCCCAAATGCACAGAAACTGTAAGTATCTGTAATGGAGGAGAGGCTTGCCTGGCAGATGTGAAAAGCCCTCTGTGCTCATCTTCAGAAGAACCTTAAGGTTTGCCATGTTAGAGGTAAAAGCAACACTTGATTTCAGGAAAAACAAAACAAGAAAATAAAACCAACATTTGCCTTCTGTTTATCAGATTTTCCCCCTCTACCTCTCCAGTGGCAGCCTGAAGTAAGCAGGGTCTGGTCCCAGTGCCTTACCCTGTTCTAGGCAGGTCTCCAAGATCTGCAGGAAGACACAGCTATGAAAGCATGTCCTATCTGCATAAATAAACCTCTGTGCTTTCCTTCACTTTTTATTTTCCTGCTAATAAAAATGACTGGTACATTTCTATGTGGGTTTTCATTTCTGGCCCCTAATAGGTGGTGTAGAGTTTTGCCTTTCTTATGTCAGGATACTTTGCATACCACAAAACTGTTTACACCAGTACTATATACAGAGGAACAGTTCTGTCTGTTAAAAATACAAGTGGGAAATGCAGCCTACATTCTGGCAATACCTGTGAGCAGTTTTGCAATGCAAAATTGTGAATTTTTGTTGTCTTGGGTACAGTATACTGAGAATACTGAAAATTTTGTGGAACTGCAAAAGAATTCTGTTATTTTAGCAAAATGCATATTTACTCTCATCTACTTAGCAAAAAATGCATACTTACCTTATCTCATCATGTGCCTATGACTCAGTAATGGTATAATTTATACAGCAGTAAGAACCATATAATTACTTCCCATCTAAGTATTAATTATAATTGTGTCAATCTTTGGAGTGTTGAATGATGATTACAGTTGAAAATTATTTAGTATTTACAGAAACTCTAAGTGCAATTTTAATAATTTGAATGATGCTTCTTTTTAAACACAGTTATATATTTACTATACTAATTTTTACATATCCTTCAGTGGGGGTAGTAAGCTGAAGTCCATTTTATCAGTGTATTTTAATTTATTTTTTTTTTTCAGTGAAGATACCTCTAGGATTTAGTGGAGATGAGCCTCAGATAACTCTGCTAACTAGCACTGGTTGAAGATGTAGTTTAGTCCTTGAGTAGAGATAGGGTGCTTCTGTACCACCCAAGGTTAAACACTCACATCTGCAGTTTACCTCTCTGTTCCTGCTAGTGTGCATCTCCAACTTGTATGCATTTATCATATGAATGTGTAAGAAGTCTAGGTCTATGAACAAAGGCTAGATTGGTGGGTAGCAGAATTTCAGTGAAAAGGATCATGCCTAATAAAAGAGGTTTCTGCACAAAGTGAGGTTCTCTGTTACTGTGCATGTCAAGTCCCGCATCTATTATTTACATCACACTGATGCAATTACTAGAGATCAAGGTCCTCTGTAACACCACAGGCCCCTTACTAAAGAAAGAGACCAGTTAGTGCCTGAAAATGCAGTCATGCATGGGAACTGGCATGAAGCATCTTCTGGGATTCCAGACACTGCCCTCCTCTTGGCTGTAGCAAGTCCCCTGAAGGGCATGCAGCTCCCAGGCCTGCACACAGCTGTAGTACAGCTTCCACTGGCAAAGCCAATTGCTCTTTGGGGATCCAGTGCCACCTCACCATCACTTGCTGCTGGTTTCTTTTAAGGAAGACTTACAGCAGGTTTTGCAATGGTCTGGAAAGCCTGGAAAAATGTGACTATCAAAATATTATTCTCCTTTTTCTTTTGCTCCTATATGTTACTGACAGTCATGTTTTGCAGGCACTGTTCTGTATCTGTCTACTGAAATAACATATTTAGACAAAGACTTATTTAAAAATGCTTTGTTGCCAAGACACTGAATGAAATGTACTAGTGACACCTACAAAGACAACAAAATGCTCTTCTTTTTCCTTCTGCTCTAAAACATGCAAGTACCATAAAATCAATCAGTAGGCTTGATGGGATAACATGTATCTACATTAAAAGTGGCTAATTTCAATGTGTTTTGAAATGGCTCAAAAAGGTCAGACGCACTGCTTGTCACTGCTGTTCTTTCATGCTGTGTGATGTCACGGAACACATTGAAGCACGAAGAGGGAAGCTTAGGTAAACTTTCAAAATTCACTGTAAAAAATAAAATCCCGTTGCATCCCTGTTTAAAGATATAAAATAGGTAAAACTTTCAGAGGTTTTATTCTTCCATTTAAATGTTTTTGTCTGTCTGAATTCTTCAGATGAATTGAAGGAAAAAGCCACTTTTATTCACATTATTTGGTTGAGAAGGGTCTGATAGTCAGTGGAAGAATTTTTCAGTACTTCCATTGGAACAAGTGGGATGGGGATATTCTGTTCACACACCACTGTCTCGTATAGGGGAGCAGCCTCCAGAGCGAGAGATGACAAGGAGATGGATGAAATGGGCTGCTGTAAGTCCTGCAGCCTCACTGCGTAATTTGCAGCCTGTCCTGTAGTCCCAGATGCTGCTTCCTCTTCCAGGCTAATGTTTATAGATATTTCATTTCTTTGACAAGGGTCTGTAAGAGAATATGGGGGGGGATCATCTGTGGGAATATATATTTGTGTTGCTCCTGGCCCCACACATTCATCGTAGCTGAAAGAAAAAAAGGATTTCTCATTAGATTCCTGTGAAAAATGCCACAGTATATTATTTTCAGCATAGCAGGGGCAGGTAAAGTGAGAAGAAAAGGATTGCCTGGTGTTTTGTTCTTCAGCCTACGTCCTTGCTTACCCTGCCATGTGAGACATTTGAGAGCATAATACTTAAAAGCACATCTCAAAATACCTAAAGATAATCTCGGAGGTCTGAGTGTAAGTTCAAACCCCATCCTCCTGCATGAAAGTAACATTTGTGGCAGCACCATTCAGCAGAGGTGCCTGGGGATAAGCCCAGCTCTTCGCAGCGGGTTACGCAGGAGCGTGCAGAGTAACGCTGCTGGCTCACACCAAGCTGTGCCTGCTGCACCTGGCACCGCGGGTGCGACACAGCAGGGCTTCGTTCCTGCTCTCAACTGCTTGTAAGAAAATGGCTGGGGAAAAAAGAAGTGGTGTTGCCATTTTGCAGTTATGAAATAAGGTACAGAGAGTTTGAGATGGAGCCTAGAGTGTCACATCAAATGCTGTCCTCCTGTCTCTGGTACTCAGCCAGCAGTTACGTGTGGTGGGTTGTCTGGGGTGCAGATCTGTGCTGGCAGAGGTAGCAGGATTTCTTGCTGAGGTGCAGCGCTGTGATGAATAATCTTGACAGACTCATGCTGGTCATTCTGAGACTCCCTGTCATGTTCCTCCCAAAAAGGAGGAATGCAGGACAGATAAATTTGTGGGATTTCTGTGAGGAGCCAGCTCAGGTCTATCCAGGCTCTGTAGTTCTAGTTCTTTTTGTGCCACCAAGCTAGAGACAAGGGAAACTATTAACTCCTCGCTCTACTACCATGCTCACTGCTTGCTGTTCCAGTGTGACAGGAACCTTGGACTGGAGCTTGGACTGCACAGCTTAGGGAGGCCCACGAGGGGTAAATAATGAGCCAGGGTAGACCAGCCTGTCTTTGTGCTTGTGGTTTCCCATGTTCTGTGTTGCAGGAAGGGGATGGGAATGGACAGAGTGGATGTGAGCAGGATCCATGTGTTTGTACTGTGCTGCACTGGCACTGCCCAGCCCTCTGAGCCTGAGGGTCTGCAGAGATTGTACTGTGGCCCCAAGGAGGGCTGAACCAGAACTGGGGAATCTGGTCTGTTATCTGGGTGGCCCACAATCTGGCTATCCTAGCATCACTTGTTTGTATACAAACTTAAGCTGACTCCACTTTTGCTATCAAACCAGCCCCAGACTCGTGGTCTGAAGGGAGGTCCTGTTTTCCTGGCTCAGTGGCTATAGGCAAAGTGACAAAGAGTCATGACATCGTGATCTTAAATGTTGGACTTGCTTTGTTTGTGGCTGCCTTGTTTAACTGTTTCAGGATCATTTTAAATCCAATTTTGAAGGAGGGAATGTTTCCTGTAAAAAAAAAAAACCAAAACCCTTTGCCTACTCAGTTAACCTGAAAAATAATTCTGATGGAGCCAGACAAATTAAGAACCCATTTCCTCAACCACACTAACTGCAGAGCTATTAAGATCCAGGCTATTTCCTGAAACTTAGGATATTTAGCATATGTCTTCCCAGCAGACTGCAGGCAGTCATTCTGCCCACTGTAATTGCATTACTGCCAGGCTAAACCCAAGCTAATAAACCCTGCTTGTAGATGGCTTGCAGCAGGGCAGCTTGCATTGGTTAGAGTGAGCTCAAACTTGGCTCTGCTGCACTTTCATAGCTTTCCTTCAGAGTGTTCCTGTTGATTTTGATGGTATTGTTCCTAGTCTGGGTGATCGAAGTGTTTTTTGGGGAAGGTATGAAAGTGAAATCTTAGTATTAGGTGACTAAAAAACTCAAATATCCACAGGTGTGTGTTTATTTTTACTTCCCTTTTATCTTACTTTCATATTCATAAGGACAATGAATTTAAATTCAGACTAGAAAATTTCAATTTCCCCATCAGAAAGAATGGTATTTAAAAACATAACACTGTTCTGAAGGTCCTGAATAGGGCTGCTAGATACTTCAGAAACAAGTCCAGCACATAGGAGGTTCCATTGTTTTTGTACAGCATGTGGAAAAGATTTCAGTCCAGCCTCCACTAAGCCCACTGAAGCTTTCAAGCACACCTGATAATCTTTTAAAAGATCTTAGACTTCAGAGATCGAGGACCTGATGTCCCCAACTAAACTCTTCATGAACTCAGAGTAAAGGAAGAGCCACTCTTTGCAGGATTACTTACTATGAGCTGCATCTTTACTTAATTTACATTTTGCTGACCCAAAGCCCAATGAATTTATTTAAAATCTTTCCACAGATTTTGACTGACTTAATCAGGCTACTGAAAAGCACCTACTGGGTCTTATTACCATTGTAAAATAATTTCAGTTTTGAAAAGCCCACAGTAATGTAAGTTTCAAGGTGGAAATTTTTGAATCTTTTTGCTGAGACACAGAAGGGAAGAAGCTTCTTTGTTTCCTGATTCTGGGCCCAGGCCCAGCACAAGGGAAATCTGCCACTGACCTAAAGGAGAAATGGGCACAGTATGAACCTTCTACTTACTGTTGTTATCTGATCATCTGCACTTCTTTCCCTTGGATTTAATTTAATATCTTTTATGGACCATAGCTCATCTCTGTAGAATCAAAATGCTCAGTGGGATAAATAGCAAAATGATCTTTTGTGAAGGAGACTTTTAACCATCACGACAAGTGTGTAGCAAATTATGGTATTCAAGACCTGTCATTTTAGTATTTAGTTCCAAATATCAATATATTAGTGTTAGGGCACTCTTTTTTCATAAGTATGATGGATAAAAATAATTATCTCTTTTTCTCCAGACTCCAGTGCAAGTAATGTTCCCTCTCTCATTTTTGGCAATTAATTTAACATTTTAAAAATCAAACAGGGCAGTAAGGAACACATGTCAGATTTTCAATTAAGTAACTTTTTGGCACCTTCACAACTGTACCTACAGATTGTCATGGTCAAGGAAGCAACTACAACTCATTCAAATAGTGCCTTTAAAAAAATAACTTATTGTATTTCATTAGCAATTTAGGATCCTGATAATCGGTTTCCCATATTCTCTTCTAAGCATGGCATCTTTGTTGCCAATACTGATATTGCAAACAGCTATTGCTATGATACTAATAGTGGAGGCTACAGATAAGGTTTCTTGCTTGCATTTTCAGCTGCAAAACGTATATATATACACACATATACATGTAGGTGTCATTCATGTAGCAGTTTCGTGTATTCATGTAGCAGTTACTGAGGCTGTGCTTTTACAATATGGCTAAGAAGTTTTGCTTGTGAGCTGTGGTCTAAGACCTACCTCACTTCATCTCTTCTACTTCCCTTGTGTTGCACTGATGCCCATCTCACTATTGGAATTTGGAGTTGAAAGAATTGAGAGTTTAATTTCATGTCATGATTTCCAGTGGATTTAATAGTCATATTTACAATGGTACTTCTTCCTTTACTGACTGAAAATCCCACTGAGGGTACTGAAGTGAGATCTGAACTTAACCATGAATGTCCACCCCGTGCTTTGCCAACTGCCATGGTAATGTGCTAAAAAGTACTTTGCATGTTTGCTTGCAGGAAAAGTGGCCTTGGCAAAGGAATACAGCACAACAATACAGCACAACATAGCAAGTTTTTAATGTTAGTTTCCTTCACACCTAACTCTGTCTTTCAAGATAATCTAGGAAGCTGGTTCAAGCCTTCTTCCCTCTAGTATGGCTAACTTGCTTCCTCAGAAGTGGAGGATGGAAAAGAATGTCTCAGAAGGTACCTTAAGCAGTTTGGTTTTCATATTTAGAGGGAATTAGGGTCCGTCTTTAAGACATGAGCATTTCCTTTTGCCACTTTAAAGTAATTTAAAAATTATTATTTAAACAATGCAGACTGAACACGGGTATTAAGAGTACTGGAATTTATCAAGGCTAATCAAGGCAATTTTCTCTAGAGCTGATCCTGTGTAGATTAGGCAATATGACCAGATGGGGCAGAGTGAGCGTGTTTAAAACAAACAACCCAACCCCCAATGTATTCTAATGTGAATGCCAGGATAATGGGTGACTAACAGGTTTTTATCATAGTGCACCCTGCAGGACACATTTCAGTGTGAAATATGGAGAGGACTTTTGTGGCTTCCATTAAAACTATTCCTGAAGCTAAATCCCTCCATCTCACTCGAGAGACGTTCCTCAATGATGTTCTGTATTAGACAGTCATGAGTCACAGATGAAAAAGGTGATAACCTTGGTTGCCTAAAGCTCTGTACATACCATTAATATCCAATCACTGAGGAGTGAAAAAGCACTTAGTTGAGTAAGGCGAAATGCATTTCCTTTGGCCAAAAGGTGAAAAGCTGATAAAATTCCTTTCATGCAGGAGCCTCAAAGCTCCTCATTGTTATGATTTTAGAAACTCATAAAGAAAATGCAATTGGTTTTAATTTATCTGGTCCTTGACTGGTACTGTACTTCAAGCCATTTAAAACATGTAAGCTCAAATTATTTTTAAACATCTTTCTTATGTATATATAAAAAGATAATTAGGAAAGCTCACTATAAGTGCACGTGTTACAGTGAACTCTGGGCACAGGGAACATAAGCATGAGCACACGATTTGTATCTGTAAAGGTGTTATCCACACAGTGTTTGGGATCAGCAGGTGTTTGGGATCTGTAAAATAACAACTACAGTCATTTTGATCAAATTCCAGAAGACTCTTGATTAAAGGTCTGCTGCCTGCATATAGCTCCAAATAATACCCTTGATTTTTTTTCTTTTATTATTCTTAGAAGTTTGAAGATACTAAATATTCAGCTAGATGATTTTACTCACACTATCAGAGAAAGTTGAACAGTTTGGCAAATGTGGGGTTTACAGGCTTTCCAGTATTTCTTTCAAAGCCCAATTTACTGTTAAGCTGTGGCAGAGAGATTGTTCTTTGATTTTGTCCTGGTTGAATTTTTTTAAGTTTCCTAATTTGGGGAGAGAATAATTCTGTGATTTAGAGTTGTTGCTAGATCATGTCCTGTTGTATTGTTTTGTTTTTTTTTTTTTGCTAGGGTAGGGTTAATTTTCTTCTTAGTAGCTGGAAAGCACTGTGTTTTGGTTTTAGTGATGATTGTTATGAGAAGAAATGTTGATAACTACAAGGACACTGTGCTTGGGCAGTTTGCAAGAGCAGAGGACTGGAAAGCGGGGGGAAGAAGAAAAGTGTAGTAGTTAGTAAAATCCAGAATTCACAGCTGGATACATCAATAATATGCCTCATTTATTTATTTATTGGTTATCATTGTTGTTATTATTATTACTATTTTAATTTTATTTTACTCTAATTATTAAATTGTTCTTATCTCAACCTACAAGTCTCCTCACCTTTACCCCTCCAATTCTCTCCATGATTCGCGGGGGGAGGCTGCGAGTGGCTGTGTCTTGTTTGGCTGCCAGCTAAGTTAAATTATCACAGATCACCTGGATCATCTTTCTCAGATGACTGAAGTTTCTTCTAACACTTTGCCATCTCTGGCAGACTATGAAACATTCAGTTAACTTCCAGCACTGCTACGAGTATCTTACGTCAGAAACAAGCTCTAAAATACAGACCCCTAATATCTTGAAACTATTTAGTTCGTATCAACTGTATTTTGTTTTTATATTTCCCTTCTATGCCTCATGTAAAATCAATCTGACAGATGGTAAAACAGATCTGAGATTCATTAGAAAGTTATTAATTATCCTAAAGGGATGTTTATGGATAGGAGCACTGTACATTTTAGGCTGTCAAGACACATTGACCCAACGGCTTCTGTGTAACCACCCTCTAACTACGGCAGGCTAATGACAAAACTCAGTGCATGGTATTCCTCTAAATCTCATGTAAAATCTAATGTAAGAAAGTGGCTAGTGGAAGTGTCTGTGGATAATCAAATTGAGCCTCAAATGAAATTTGTTATTTATATATCCAAGCAATTAAATTATTAACATCCCAAGGCATTTTTCATAAATTAATTTACCAGTTAAAATTTTTATATAAATAGTATTTTTTATCAGATTTTCAATTGGAAAGTGGGTGGTCCTAACAGTCAGCTCTCCCTCAGCCATAGAAAATGGGTGCTTTTAACTCTGACCCTTTGTTTCATCACCCTTCCCCTAAAATTCTTTTTCCACTCGTTTAATGGTTTAAAGCCCAAGTGTAAAATCTAATGAAAACATTCCAGACATTATAATAATCCCCGTGGCCAAGTAGAGGTGTTGTGCTTTCTACTGAAATAATTTCAGAAAGTACAATTGTAGCAAAAATGCTGCGTTCAAGAAAACTCGACTCCACAGCCTCTAGTGTGCAATGATGTAACGCTGCGGCCTCGCAGAGGCTGCATGAGAACAATGTGGTTAAATGAAGCTAATGCCTTGGTGTCTGCCTGTGGCACCACAACACTAGTTTTCACTCACTGAATTCTTTCACTTCAAATATGTGTTGAGAGTTATTTGCCAATGCAGTTGCTTTCCTCTTCATTTCTCCTCTGTTTATGGTACAGTTGCATTATTAGCTTTTGGGCATGCTAGTTTAGCTTTAAATTACATCTTGCACTGCCTGAATTAAAAGGAGGAATTGTATTAATTTAGCCAGTGCTACATTTCAGTAAGCCTACTCTTCAAAACATTATCGTATGGAACAAGATTGATCCCAGCGAGTTAATATTTTAAATATGCCAGGTCAAGCATGTCTTGTTTATGCTTCAAGGCCATGTCAGTTTTCCTGCTGTTAGCACTCATCAGTCCAAATAATCTCCATGCTCTACTAATTAGAAAAAATACTGTTGAGTGTTATGCCATGGAGGAGAGTGTAAAGGTAGCTATACAGAAATTTTTCAGGCTCTTACATAATGCAGTGTATTCATCCAGTGCTTCTTAACCAATGCTTTTCTGAACAGAAGGTTACAATGGACTACACAATATATTAATAGTAAGTTTAAATGTCTCTCTATGTAGTTTTGCTTTCAGCCATCCGCTAAGCTCTGCTTTTCCTTAAGTTTTCTCTAAATTGTGTTCCTGAGATGTAAAACTTAATGAGATTCTGATGATTTGCCAAAGCTACTTTTTCTAAAATATTCCACTATGATAGCAGTGAGAAAACAGCAAACCCATTAACAATAATATTTACTTTTGACCTGTGATGCAGAAATGCAATTAATGGGATGAGCAGTGTTTCCTTGTGTATGCAGAGTCAGATCTTGGGCCCTCAGGGACGCAGTCCACTCAGCCCAGAAGGGAATCTTGAGGAGGCAGTGGCTGGACATCTTTATGTCTCTCTGATCCTAGTATTGATGTCCCAGAGTAGTTTATCAAAACAAGGTAGGACTCAAGATCCTAGGCTTATTACAGCAGTAGCTGGTGAATTTGCAGGAAAGCCCAGATCATCCAGTGCTATCCTGTATCACTCATGTATCTCCTTCCAAACAGAGAACACCATAGAGGTGGAAAATCCTTCTTTGGGTCTGTTTCAAACTGGAAATGCAAGCAACCTCTGGTATAATCTTAGGAGACCTGTTTGCTAAAGAAATACCTTCTCAGAGCTTGTTCACAGGAGTGTGAGCTGGTTCTTAGAAATCTGGCCAATTGCCCACTCAAGCTGCTGCTTGGGTGTGAGCTGGCTGCCTTTATTAGTAGACTCGTGGGTGTGGGCCCAAAAACCAGTCTAAATTTTAATGGGGATTTATATGAATTTCTAAAAATTTAGATGCCAGGCTCAGAATAATTTTTCACATGTGAGCTTTCTGCTAAAATATTTACACCATCTCTAAAAGCCCATTTATTATATAGTATGACTTTGTAATACATAAAGGGTTGCTTGTAGAACATGAATATAATAGAACAGAAAAAGCAAAGATCTATATATTGTATGTTCATACTACCGACTTGCTCTATATTGCATAGGTATACAAGCAGTCAGAAAAGGGCTGGTCTTACGAGTGTATCTGTTTATTTCAAAACAGAGTCTGCTTAAAAGGAAGAAAAGGAGGGGGGGGGGAAGGAGGAGGGGACATGGCTGTTCAACCTTTATTTGCTGTTTGTAAGATACAGCACTGCAGAAAGCCTGGAGTGATGTTCCATTTAAAATTATTTCAGTTGGTTCATTGGAGGGAGTAACTGAATTCCTTCATTTATTAACCTTGAGGTCCATGAGGCACACAGAGGAGATATAGATGGCCTGAAGTGCAACTCTCGTTGCTTGTGATGGCTGTTCTTGTATCCCGTGAATACAGGCACACAGATGTGGAAGGAGCTGCTACATAATTTCTGGAATAACTGTGTGTGGAAAGAGCCTTTTCTGGCAATGTTGCCTCCTCAGGCAATTAGAACTGCCTGATATTTGAAGGACTCTGCTCCAGAGATGCTACTACAATCCAGGCAACTACGGCTCTCCAGAGCGTGTTTGGGTTAAGCAGCTAAAATTGTCATCCTCCTTCAAAGATTACTGATATCCCAAATAATTTTCTCCCTATCCTAAATGAGAGGGTTAAGTACAATTACAATGTATGTCAGAATGGTATGTTTTCTTTGGTTCTGATTTCTGATAGAATACTGGGGTTCAGAAAGCTGAGAAGTGGGACTTGCTGATAAATATGGAAAGGTTTAAAGGTTTCTTTTTTCCCATTTACTCTGATCTGAACAGTCTTAAGATCAGTAATAAATGTAACTTGAAAGTTCCTGAAAAAAGTGTATTTTTCTTCTGGAAGAGACACTTTGACTTGTAATATTATTTTTTTCAAAGAAAGATGTTCATAAGTAATTTTACTTGTGTGTTTCATTAATATGCCATCAATTTGATAAATTTTAATGTGAATATCAGTAAATGAGAACTGGCTGTACACATGCCTTTATTTAGTAAAGATATATTATGCTAAGGAAAACTTGAACTTAAACTAAACAAGGTCTGTCTGTATTTAGAGTTTGTGTAACCTGCATTTTTGTAGTGGGTAGAGGTCTAGCAGTTTTATTTTCTTCTTTAACAGGCTTTGCAAGTGCAGGACTATAACACTCAGAATCTTAGAAAAGTACTTACCGTGGAGGTGAATCAGGATACATGACGTTGACCTGAGAAAGTGTATCCAGATAGGAACCAAAATCAAAAGCTGGGGGAAGTTCTTCCAAGCAGGTGGACCTCAGCTCTCCAAAAGAGCCACCATACGAGAAGCCATCTGGAGCTGGAAAACAAGCTATTAATACTTGCTGCTTTCTTCCTCCGTGGTGGATTCTCTGAGACAATATCACTGTTTAAAACACTGACATAAATCAGAAAATAAAACCTATCTGGGGCAGAGGAATTACTGGCATTCTCGAACAATCAGGTTTCACAGGACATTTCTGTTCCTTTAAGAGCAAGTTAGCATCATCTGGAGATGAACTGTGGTCAGTTTCAGGCTGTGGCACAGGGACTGTGTATTTAGTGCTGCCCTACAAGATACAAGTGTCTAAAGCTTTTCTTGTGCCTCCAAAGTTGAAAAGGAGCGTTAGTTCTGCTGCATGCAGCTTCAAACTTTAGCAGGATTGCTTGAGGGTCCCAGGAGTTGCATACATTGAAACCTTGCCAATTCTGTGAAGTTTTTTAAAAGGAGGCTTAGGTGTTTGATTGTAGGTATGTGTCTTGAGAAAATGCTGTTCTCAATAAAAACATTCACAAACAGGGGAAAAACTGGAAAATAGTAGAGAAAATAATCCTGCTGCTGGCTCCAGGGCTTTCTAGTGCTTTCACGAAAGAGCTTTGTATCTCCAGATACACCAAGAACTTAGTGCTATTTTCTGTCTTTGAGGATAGTTAGTTAATGCTCAACGTTCTAGGGTAAATTTCCCCAAGAATGTCCCACATTGTGGAAATACAGCAGTCTCCACTCCCCCGCCCTCTCTCTGTCCCCCTGCAATTGTCTTAAAAAATAAATCAATCCCTCCTTTTCACTCAATGCATTAAAATAGGACCTGGAGAGAAGGGCCAGCTTCTGAAGTGACATCCAAGTAGTGTCTCTCTCAACAGAGGGTGAAGGCCAGGACTCACTTGAACTGCCTGTTCCTCCTTCTAGCAGTTTTCACCTCTGCCAATTTGTCCTCGAGGAATCTACCAGGACTAACCCAGTCTAGCGTGCACTGTGCTGTCCTTTTGCTTGATCAGTGAAGGAGGCCAACTTCACAGTGACTCCTGCTGCTCCCATGCTGGCCAGTGGAAACATGCTGAGATATCAGGATGGTGTGTGCTAATGTAAAATTTCTACTTGGGTAGACTGGCACAATTTAGATTAAGATTATTATTTTGAATTTCAATGAAAATATCAGCGTGCTTTTCTTTTGCCATTTCAGTAGCATTGTTATTTTTAACAAACAGTTTGAAAATTGTCCTTTTTGTTTTCACCTGGCTTCAGGGTTTTTAAAGAAGCCGAAATTAAAATAGCAGTAGGTTTAAATGTAGTGATTGAATCTTAATGGTCAGTGTTTTATCATGCTAAAATATTGCTGTTCATGGGCAAAACAGTAACTCCAATTTGGGTGTAACTGTTTAATCCCAAATTTAACTGCTGAAAAGTAGGAAAAATAGATGATACAATAATAGTAGACATCAGGGTGGTTTTTTTTTTCTTTTTTTTTTTCTTTTTCCCTTTTTCCCTCCCTCTATGTTACCATGGTAGTTTGCATTTCACTTCTTGTGAAGTCTGAAAAAACACAGACATTATTCACTTATCTGGATAAATGTTTCTAGAAAAGCCAAAATTAATTATTCCTGGCTCCAGGTGGACACACTGTTCCTAGTAAATGTGTTTCTTTTAGACATGAAAATTCCTGTTCCAAATAATTAAGTGAAGTCCAGCTGACTTCAGTGGATACTTGATTTACCTCACTGAAATCCAGACTGGAGACACTGCATTTTTATGTGGCTCATTATTATTATCTTTTCTATATAAAGAAAAAAACTCAACAATATGCAAAGAACTGTACTGATAACAAACTGCAGCTATAGGAGCCTAACTGCAGCTGACAAAAGTTGTTGATGTTCCACTCAATCCAGTTATCATTTGCATTTTTACTAGCTGAAGACTTACAAGGTAATGTTTTGTAAGTGTGTTTTCCTTAAATATAGAAATAATCAGATTCTGTCATTTCCTTGACAAAGTGGCTTTTAACTTCTAGTCAGCAAACCCAAAAGTGGCCAAAAATACAATTCTACAATTAATTCCTTCGTATTCCCAAATCCTTTTAAAGTACAGGGGATTTTTGTCAGGGGATAGGAATTGGCACTTTATTGATGGCAAACTAGTCTCTTTAATGACGGTGACGGTTGTAATGACATTTTGATGCCCTGTTGTTCTGTTTATATGCAGTTATTAACTTTTGTGGTCAGAAAAAAGTAATTGCCCAGTCATTGTTGTAGGTTGGTGCACGCTGCAGAAGTTAAAAGATTCCTGGCTTTCCAACAAATAGAAATTACATCATAGCTATACCAAGGCTATAATGGGATATGAAAATAAACTCTTAGGAGTCTAGCAATGGAGAAGAAATCTTGTAACGCACCAAGGGAAAATAAGCTGTTTAAGAAATGCTGTCGGCACTGGCCTTGTTTATGTCAACCACTAACTATGGAGCTTGTACTGTGTGAATTCAGTGCCAGCACAAAGATGCTATTAAACTACAAAGCTGCCTGTGACCTACTCATCCTATGTTTTAATTATTTTATTCATTTTATCCCTTGCACAGTGGCCAGATGCTTTTTGTTGCCTGCAGCACCAGATATTTTAAGGTTAAGCATTATCTTGCTATAACTAGCTACCTTACCATAAACAGCATCTCTCCTCAGATGTGGGTGTCTTAACCGTCCGTCCTTCCGCAGACTGCCAACGATGATTGTAACACAGGATAGAAACAGCACGAGTCCGATCACTACTCCAGCCACCAGAAGGGGTGAAACAAGTAAACTGGTATCATTTCCGTTTTCTCCGTAGCTGGGGAATTCACTGGTTGGGTTGCTCTGGTTCAAGTGAACTTCTGTACAGCAGAGAGAGAAAGAACGTCTCAGTTGTGAAAAGAGACATTTACAAAGTGTGATTACACAGATGCTGAAACTAAGGGTTTTCAAAGCCCTAAGAGACAGCCTGAGACAGATCCATTGTAGGAATTCATGCTGTTATGGACAACCTGTTTATTAGACTCATTTCTGGAGCCATTAGTAACCGACTCTGGGTTAGTCACTTGGCAGCTGTTTCCCTGTTACTGGAGAATATCCTGCTGGAGTCAATGATGTATGTGGCATAATGGTAATTTTCATTGCTTATTCCTGGAAAGACTCTTTGTATTGTGAATTGATTGATGCTGAAAAAACTTCAGTGCACAGGGAGGAATGTGAAAACTCAAAAACTGGGGCTCTGAGTGGAGCTGAGTAATCATATCTTGGTACTAGGTGTGATAAAGACTCAAAGGTTTTGCAGAGAAAATTTTGGGCAAGAGTGAAACAGAGGAGCATGCTTTTGTAGCACAGGGCATGTCTTAGGTTGTGGGATGAGTTAGCATCCCAAGAAACTGATTTGGAGCAGAGGGGAAAGTGACTCATTCAGAGTGGGATTCTTAGTGAGGCACTGGATTTTCATCAGCAATAGCTTTTTATGAGGCAGAAGCTCAGGCAATAGGGCAGTCCTCTTGGCCTTAACATCTACTAAATTGTTGAAATAGCAAACCATCACAATGAGCACTTAAAATTTACTCATTAAATACCTGAAAGTAATTAAACTTAATTTATTGCCCTTTGCATGCCCCTATATGTTGAAACAGTAACCCAAGGATGGTGCCAAAGCTGTTCTTCAGTCTAGGCTTTCCTAGTGTTTGAATGGGCTATGTGCCTTGCGGAGAGCTTAGGTTTGGTGCAGTCATTCTCATTTCATCCTCCCTAGTTTGGCCTGATCCTGTGTAAGGAAGGAGCTGTGTGCAGGCAGACCTCACCTTACAACAGTGTGGAAGTGTTGTGGTGCAGTAGGTACACCCTGCACTTCACCAGGTGACCATGGACCGAGCTGACCTGTATCTGGCTCGTGTGCCTCTGTCCCAGGCAAGCAGTTCTACATAGCAACATTACTACTTCTACTCCATTTTCACTCAAAATGCACTCATATGGTATGTGGCAAAAACTGTAACTGCTTTCCTCTGTATTTAAAAAAACCCCAAACTGTCCAGATGTATTATTTAAGTTCAATAATAAATCTGCTTAAGGGAGAGAAATGGAAAATGCAAGATTATCTCAAACTATGAAAAGTCAGAAGAACTCCAGTAATTTATTCCCAAGTCAAATATCCTTTTGAGGCAAGCTAAAGAGAGTATCAAAAGTTAAACAATGAGTTGCCTCTAGAAAATCAACTGGTGACATATGATTATATGTTAATTAATTGCCTATAGATGCATTTATATGGGATTGTACTGCTAATGGGGGGGAGGTAAATGTCAGAAATGATGGGATAAAGGATCCAGGATTTCAGCAGATAGAATCCCTGCTTAAGTATAAGGCTCTGTATGTTTATTTGTGGACAAAAGTTTGGGCATGCAGTAAAGGTCACCAAATTTGGGCCTAGGCATCGAAAACAAGTTGCAATAAGCACCCGTTTTCATATCCTTAATCCACAGTTTATTAAAAAGCCAAACACACTCCCTCAAATTAAGAAGAAATCTTCCATTAGCTGCTCAGGATCAGACTATGTACCGAGTAAACCAGAATTTTGTTCATGCTAGAAACTGTTGGAGATTCATATACACCAAGAGTAGCTTTCAGATATGGCATGGCTATATTTTTATATCTGGCTATATGCCAGTTGAACAGATAAAGAATTTGTTTCCTGCAGAAACTAAGGGTAACAAAATTTTGCTCTTTTGAATGTTCTGTGAAGTGAATATGTGCTTTTGGAAATGCAATTGCTTTTTACATGGATAGATGTTAGCAGATCGTTTTCAGCAATATTTTTCCCACTCTTTTCCTTTGGGATATACCACTTAGTGTCTTGCAGTCACAATAAGTTAAAAAGAAAATGATGGCTTCAAGCCAATTTATATTGTCATTGGCTAATGCTTGACATTGAGAGAACTGACTAGAAATATTAAAAAACCTGGGGAATTTGGATGTAGTAGGGTTTTTGGTTTTAAGTTTTTAGAAGCACTTGACTGTTGTCTGAGAATGTTTATGAGCAGTTAAGCGAGACGGCCAAGAAATGTGCTGAGCTTTTACAAAGCATTTTATGCCAAAAGAGAAAGCTGAATTTTCTGAAAATTAAACTGATTCTGTAGCATTAAATCAAAAGGGTATAAAAAACTGTCCTGCTTAATACTCTTAGTGCAAAGACTTTTCTGGTATGAGATGTATGTTTGAGGGGTAGATTCTGATGCTCTTACAACCACTGCATTAGAACTAAACTTCCTCAAAGTTTACAAAACTCTAATTGTGTTTCTCATTTGTACAGTTTTTTTATCTGTCTCTGGTAACGTGTCCAACAAGTGTGTGCTCCCTCTGGCTTTCCATAGCCTTGTTTATTCAGGTTTTTGCAGATCTTGGCTTTGGAAGATGCAGATATCACAGTAGTGCCAGTTCAATTTAAATCACAATTGCGGGGAATTGGCACCTGAACTGAAAGTACTGGCAAATAGTTTATTGGTATTTTTGGCTGACTTGCAAAGATAAAAGGGAAGAATCAATTTTGATGCCATCGTGATGAGAACAGTAGCCTGGGATGTGAGGTTGCTCCATGCACTATCAGGCTTGTGGTCTTCAAATTGAAGTCAAGTAGTACTGAAACTGGAGTCGGTGATAAATTTCCTGTCAAGGTCAGTGGGAAAGAAAAGAGGCTGCAGTGAGTGCTTCTGGATCTTTTGAAACTTGGGAAACTGCTAGATGATCCCCTTAACAGGAAGGGACTGTCTAAAGAAGAGTAGACTGGAGGTTTGTTGTTGTGTATTGTTTAACTTTGGAAGCCAGCTGGTATCTTACCACATTGAATATTTTGGAGATTCCTGTGGTGCCACCCTCTGTGAGCACTAATATTTAGTCCTGTTTTGCTTTATAGGAATTTAACAGGATAATAGTGACTTCAAATATAATATGCTCTCTCTGTATATTCTCCACTTGTACTTGAGGTGTTATTTTTTTATTTCAAGACAGCCCATTTATCTAGCATGTTCTCAGGGCTTCCTTAGCTGTTCCAAATCTTGTCTATTTTATGTCTTGTTTCTTACTATCATGAATCTTTCTCTTTTTTATGCTCTATTGCTCTTATTAGAAGGCGTGAATAACTCCCTTAGCCTAGCTCCTAAAACAACATGCAGTTGATAAACTTCTCTTATGGTATTATTTTCAATTTGACACTGTAAGTCTAGTCCTTTAGTCCAGACTTTACAGACTGACGTACTACTATGGGAATTGCTCAAGTGACAACAACTACAGAATAAGATGCTATGTTGATATAAATTCTTTGGTTTTGATTTTTTTGGGGGCAAAAGATGGTTATATTACTTTTGGCAAAGGAATGTGTTATAAATTTTTCTCCTCTTATCCAAATACATCTTCTTTTGATAAACTGTACTTTCCTGTATATAAAAATGCCATGTTTTTTCATTCAGAATAGAAGTATCTGGAAATTTATGTAAAGCCCATAAATACAACAGCAATAGCGGAATGCTAACTTTTATTTAAGATTTTTTTCCCCATGAAACTGCAAATTGTAAACAATACCTGCATATATATGAATGCTTTATATCTAATCCTCTAAATACATAATATATTGGATGCAAAAACCAGTGCTTTGATGCAGTGATGGGAGTTGTGTAACTAACCAGACACGGCACAAACGGAACATGCCGGCTGTTGTAGCTGTGAATACAATGCAGGGGCACATGTGGCTGAGCGAACACTTAATTTAGAATGAGAGTACTAGTGGAAAATTGCCTACACCATCCATTTGGTGTTAGACAAGAAATTATCCATCTGCAAAATCCCTTAAATATCACATTATGTTATTTTACCCAGTGATCCTGCATCTCAGCAGACCAACTTGTAAAGTAACTCCAGGTAACTGAAGGAGGTGTAGTACAACTCAACTTTTTTGGTGTATGTTGTGCTGTTTTTCCTTCTCATTAACCTGTCTTTGAAGGGACACTTGTTATTCCTTTCTAACTTGGCAGTGAGGAACGCTGAAGTTTTGGCTGGGTCAGATCGTCTTGGAGTGAAGTGTCTTGATGTGTTGTGGGAGTTTGGTTCATCCGAGACAGAGCTCTTTATTAGGAGTGGCTTCTTTCTTCTTCACTGGCTTTTACCTGCTTGTATCCCAGATGAGACAGAAAGGAGGCACTACGTACAAATGAAAATCACTTCTCTCTGTACTGAAACAGTTGTGAGATTTTTGGTGTTGGGTTTTTTTTCTTTTTCTTCTTTTTTTTTTTTTTTTTTTTTTTTGAAGGCACATCAGCTCTAGTGAAGCCACAATGGTGTCTGTAATTGACAGGGTTTTCTTTGTCCCCTTAAGAAATTGGAGATGATTTTAAAGCTGGATCTTACTAAGATAACCAAATCTCTTCCCCTGGTTTAAAATCTGTCATCTTAATAAAGATGATAATTCATATTATCACTGGTGAAGATGAGACATGGAGTGGTTTTGTTTCCCAGGCTTAAATGTGCATGAACAGTTCATGAAGTGCTGATGTGTTGTACTGGAATGATTTTGTGTGCAGAATCACACACCTCTACGTCCCTGCCAGTCTCAGTTAAGCCTTGCCTGAGGACAGAATGGGCTTCGTGATTACTTGTTGACTAGAGCTGAAGCACACTGACAGAACAATGTCGTATTATATGTACACCCTGGGTTAGAGCAACGTGTTTGGGGTTGATGATCTAGCACCTGCTGTTACCTTTAAATATACTATATTAACAAAGTTTATAGGACTGTAAATGAGTAGGAGGAAGCTCAGTATAGGATAGTGCATAGTATGCTTTGATTTTTAAATAATCACAACAAAGTATC